AAATGAGAGAGGAAAATTACAGCTAAACACAAACCGCAGAAATGTAAAAAGAGCCCTGGTCCTTAACGGTAAGAAAATTGGAAAACGGTCTGGTCACTAAGGGGTTAAATAAACCTGAAATTGTTTTAATGCCCTGTCATTACCACTCCCTTATATCCAGATTGTTGATCCAGCTAGTTAAATTTGTAAATGGTAGTGCTTGTGAAATTTTATCTTTTAGATTTACTTGTTTTTTAAAAATGATTCTAAAATTTAGAGGTTGTAGTATTAGATTGTCAGTTTGACATGTCCTGCATTTATTGCGAGTATTTATTCTTGTTGACCAGAACAAATTAACCGCGTAACATGGCTCCTCAATATCATTAGATTCTATTGTTTATCAGTTTTGGATAACTTTATCTTGCTTAATTGTAGTAATCGTATGCATTAGAAGGGCTGCTTGATGGTATAGGAAAATGTTTGGAAAACCTATTCCTCCATGTTTGTGTTTTAAATATAGAAGCTCAATCCTTATTCTGGGTTTCTTATTCAAGCCATGTATCATTTCTAAAGATTTTATTAATAAAAGTCATTGGAGCAGTATAGGCATCAGGATCATCATTCTTAATAAATAGGTTATATTAGGGAAAATATACGCTTTTATAGTTAACTCTGCCCCACCATGATATTTCCAGTGAGCTCCATTTCTTTAGAAGATGAGTAAATTCCCTTATTAATAGAATTAAGTTGGCCTTCATTATATGAGAGGGGTCGTGTATGATATTTATGCCAAAATATTTAAAGCCCTTCTTTTTCCATTTAAAGGCATAACGTTTGTTCAAAAAAACATAGGTAGTACAACCGTTTTTTGGACGTTAAGTTTATAATTTGTAAGAAGGCTGTATTGCTCTATTACAGGCTTCCCCAAACTCCAGCCCTCTAGATGTTGCTGAACTATGATTCTATGAATGAAATAGATGGGCTGAGAATCATGGGAGTTGTAGTTCAGCAACATCTGGAGGGCCGGAGTTTGGGGAAGCCTGCTCTATTATATTCATTACCTCTGGTACTGAAGAAATGGGGTTCTCAAGAGTTAATAAAGTGTCATCCGTATATTGGCTGATTAATTCTTTATCATTTATATGAAAGCCCTTTCTTTTTGAGGTCGAACGGATTTCATGTGCTAATGGTTCGGCCACTAGGAAATAAAGAAGTGGAGGAAGTGGACAACCCTGGCGGGTGCCATTTAAGATGTCAACCTAATTCCCCTTCCCACTATTCTGTTCGATGGAGAGGAATAGATTGCCAAGAGAATCTGTCCTGAAAAACCAAAAACCAAAGCTTTCTCTCCATCAAGAGCCATAGTGAGAAATTGGATTTTTTGCATATATATTTAATATTTTCCTGAGGTTATTGGCCAAAGTTCTCCCCGGGACAAAGCCCACTTGATCCTCTGAAATTAGAGTGGAAATGACATATTTTATTCGTTTAGATAGAACAGAAGCTTAGATTTTATAGTCAGTGTTCAGCAGTGCAATTGGTCTATAACTGGTTATTTATTCTGGGTTTTTCTTTTGTTTGAATATAGGAACAATATTGACTACAAGCATCTCTTTTTTCAGCTTCCCCAGAGATACAGCTAAATTAAACCAACCAGCAAGTCTTTGAAGGAGCAAGTCTTTATAGATTTTTTTTTTTCTTTCAAAAATCGACAAAGCCGGCCCGGGAGCCTTATTTCTTTTCATTGCATTAAAAGCATCTGCAATTTCTTGAGGCGTTATACTTTCATTCAATAGCTCTAACGGATAATTATTTAAACAAGGAAGATCTTTATCAGAAAAATAATTTATACATAGATTTTTGAGAGGACGTTACAGGCAGATTATATAAATTGCGATATTCTTTGAAAAGAGTGCCCATTTTTCTTGGATCCAATATTACTTTTTGGTGTCACGGTCCTGAGCAGGTTAATGTTTGGCTCTTTATTGGGAACCTTAGACATGGTTAGACACAATAAGAATACTTAAGCCAAAGAGGGAGGAGGAACTATAAAGAGGAAGGCAAGTAAAAAAGGCAGAACAGAAAAAGAGATTTAGGCAATATGCCTCAGACAGGTAAATAACAAGATATTTAGATAGAAAAGAAAACCTATAGATGAAAGTATAGGTTCTATAGAAAGACAAGTAAAACAGAACAGAATGGAAAGGTTTCAGAAATGCAAGTAAAATAGACGTTTAGGCAATCAGCCCCCTGGTTTTAAAGTGCTGATAATGCAGGTAATTACTCTTTGAAATAAAGGAATCTAGGTATAGATTAAGGATCACATGCATACCTATAATAACCTGTAGAAGAGTTACTTGACTTATAGTTGGAGAGTTTCTGGTTATTAGTAGAATCAGGAAAGAAACTCTTTATAGCCTTCAGGTGTCAGGTTATGAAGATTATGTAGGTTTCTACCAGGCTGGTAAAATAAAGCAGGTCTGTAGCGTAGGTAAGGGCTGCTAACAAAGGAAGGCTGGTAACAAGGCAGGTCTGTAGGGTAGGTAAGGGCTGCTAACAAAGGTAGGTCTGTAGGGTAGGTAAGGTTGGTATAAAGCAAGTTGGTAACAAGGCAGGGCTGTAGCATAGGTAAGGTTGGTATAAAGCAAGATGGTAACAAGGCAGTTTTGTAGCGTAGGTAAGGTTGGTATAAAGCAAGTTGTTAAAGGACTACTATAGTGCCAGGAAAACACACTTGTTTTCCTGGCACTATAGTGCCCTGAGGGTGCCCCCACCCTCAGGGTCCCCCTCCCACCCAGCTCTGGAAGGGGGAAAGGGGTAAAAACGTACCTTTTCTCCAGCGCTGGGCGGGGAGCTCTCCTCCTCCGATCCTCCAATGCTTTCCTATGGACGCTTGCGTGCTCTCACTGTGATTTTCAATGAGACAGCCGCTAGAGGCTTTGGGGGAAGGCTTAACCCATTCATAAACATAGCAGTTTCTGTGAAACTGCTATGTTTATAAAAGAATGGGTTAACCCTAGAAGGACCTGGCACCCAGACCACTTCATTAACCTGAAGTGGTCTGGGTGCCTAGAGTGGTCCTTTAACAAGGCAGGTGTGTAGCATAGGTAAGGTTCAGGAGTACTTACAGATAGACCATCAACTTCATTCAATGTAAAGGCACATTAGTGAGCAGGGTGTGACCTTTAGTAGCAGAAGTAATTAACACAGGCAGGTGAGGTAGAGGGAAGGAAAGTTCTAGTGGTTAGGGAGGCCCCTAGTAACAAAACATAGTTACTGCTGGAACAAAATTTAATAAAATGCATAAAGTTCAGAAATTAGGATTTGGATCCTGACACTTGGCCTTGTCTTATTTTATTTATTAGTTTCTTATTTTGTTGTAATTTGACTTTATTGGTGAGTAATTTGTCCGCTTTATTCCTGCATAATAAAAATTAGTTTTCCTGAATTGCATATTTCTGTTTACTTTGGAGTATTAGAATATAATTAATCTTATTTTCAATAATTTTTATTTGATAAAGTTCTGGAAGGAGACAATATATTTAATGTGTTACATTCATCAAGTTCAATATATAGATCAGATAAAGATTTTGCATTGGTTAACTTTACATGTGCTCCTAAACTGATTATATGACCTTTGATGACGCTTTTACAGGCACACCATTTCACCATAGGGGAAACTTCATTATCACCGTTATCCAGCCAATAAAGGTCAATTGCCTTTGAAATATGGTCTCTTAACTTTAGATATGAGTAGTTTATCATCTACTTTATAGTCTGGGTGGTGTCTAAGAAATTGGGTTTCCAATTGCAGTTTAACCATATTATGATCTGACCATGTGATTGAAATAATATTAAAAGATTTTACTCTAACAAATTGTGGTTGTTATGTATTGGGGTTTATGCAGTCCACCTTCCAGTAGATGGCAGCATAGTGAAGTTATGCACTTGTTCTGTTGTGTTAGTCTCTCTTGTGTTAGGTCATTATGTGTGTGTACTGAAGTAAAGAGAAGTCCTATTTTACTACAATGTCTGAGAGCCATTTTGTGAATATATAACATGCTAATACATTAAACTGGCGACGAGGATGGGATGTCAGTAAATGGACACTGCAGAATATATATAAAGGAAATAAAATCAGTAAGTAACACTTTTCTTTTGGAATTCTATTATCTACAAATATCTCCAGCATGGCCTCTCTGGGACACATGGAGGAATTTGATCTGGCTAATCCAGCCTCATGGGACTCATATGCTGACAGTTTAGTTTTTTTTCCCTGGAAGCTAACAAGGTGGTTGATGCTATTCAGAAGAGAGCTGTGTTACTGAGTGTTATTGGATCTAAGACTTTTGATACTGTCCGCTCACTGAGATCTCCTGCTATACCACAAGACTACTCATTTGAAGAAATACTGACACTGTTAAAACATCATTTAGCACCCACCCCATCTGAAACAGTGAGGCGTTTCCATTTCAATAGAAGAAATCAGAAACCAGGTGAAAGCATTGCAGCATACATTGCAGAACTGTGCAGGCTCTCTGAAAATTGCAATTTTGGTGCCAGCTTAGAATCCTTGTTCAGGGACAGGCATATGTGCAATATGAATCACTGCAGAGGAGACTGCTTGCAAACAGAATTTAACTTTTATTATTGCACAAGAGGAAGCGCTCGCAAATGAGGCTGCATATGTCCATTCAAAAGAGATACAATCCTCCTCCAGCAAAGAGAACTCACCTGAAATAAATCTAGTGAAGAAGACTGATAATAAATCAAAAGATTTTTCACCACGCACTGATGTCACAGCTCCATTTAAAGAAACTTGTTATAGTTGCGTTGGAAAACACAGGTGTAATACATGTCGTTTTCAAAATGCAGTTTGCCACACATGTAAATGTGCAGGTCACATACAGACAGTTTGCCAAAGACAAGCCAATGGAATTCAGACCAAATCGAAGAATGTGAATAAAATACAAACCACAGCACACTCTTCTGATACTCCACATACCGTTTCAGATAGTGAAATGACTGCAGTTGTTTACTCAAATGACTATGTGAATAAAGTGGAAAATTCGCCATCAGGACTGAAGATTTACACTGAAATTGTGCTGCAAGATGTTCCGTGCAAAATGGAAGTAGATTCTGGGTGCGCATATTCTTTGATTTCAGAAGAGACATTTACATTGCTATGGCCTCATAATTCTCCTTCAATAGTACCTTGTGATATTCATCTCGTGGACTACAACAAACAGGCTGTGGATGTTAAAGGGGCTTGTTATATACCAGTAAAATGTGGTAAATTCAGAGGACACTTACGTTTAATAATTATTAAGGGACAAAGAGCAAGTTTGCTAGGTAGAGAGTGGTTTGAACCTTAGGAATTTCATTAGCTGGAGTTAATAATGTATCCACAGATATTCTACAGAATGTGATTGATAAATTAAGTGCAGTTTTTGAAGAAGGTCTTGGCATGTTTAAAGGCCCTCCTGTTTCTTTTGTATTAGATTCAACAGTACCCCCAATTCATATGAAGCTTCGCAAAATTGCATTAGCTCTCAGCCCAAAAATAGATGCTGAGATTACACGTCTTGTGGAACAAGGTATACTTGAACCCGTAACACACCCAAAGTGGTGCCAAGACCCAAAGTTACGGTCATGAAACCAGATGGGGATGTCAGAATCTGTGCTGACTACAAATGTACAATCAACAAAGCGTTGCAAGAGCATCCCTATCAAATTCCAGCTGTTAATTAAATTCTTACTACTTTGGCAAAAGGAAAAGTATTTGCCATGTTGGATATGGCTCAAGCCTACCAGCAGTTACCTGTGGATGATGAGGCTGCTGATGCACAAACGATAATAACACACAAAGGAGCTTTCCGAGCAAAACGTATGCAGTTTGGAGTTTCCATTGCTCCTGGCATATTCCAGAATTTAATGGAGGACCTCTTATATGGACTTCCAGGTGTAGTACCTTATTTTTTTCTTATTGGAGCAAATTTTATACAGTCATTGGCTGCACAGCTAGAACTTGTTTTAAGTTTTCTTGATGCTGGTCTAAAACTTAAAAAAGAAAAGTGTGTTTTTGGTGTAAGCAGCGTGGATTTCCTTTGTTACCAAGTTGACGCACAGGGCATTCATCCAACTGATTCTAAGGTTGAAGCTATCCATAGAGCTCCGGTTCCAACAAACAAGAACTGCAAGCTTTCCTAGGGTTGCTTAATTTTTACCATTCTTTTCTGCTTGATAAAGCCACTGTTGCTGAACCTCTGCATCGTCTACTAGATAAAGATGCTCCATGGAAGTGGACTGACTCCATGGAAGTGGACTGACTTTCATACTACCACTTTCAGCACTGCTAAAAAACTGTTGCCTTCTGACAGTTTGCTTTTACACTATGATTTGGAGAAACCGCTCAACCTCACCTGCGATGCTTCTCCGTATGGCATAGGGGCTGTATTGAGCCACACTTTGAGAAATGGGGTTGATGCTCCTATTGCATTTTATTCACAGACTTTATCTACTACAGAGAGGAATTATGCCCAAATTGACAAGGAGGCTTTAGCTATTGTGTCCGGTGTAAAAAAGTTTCATGACTATTTGTATGGGCGGAGGTTTACTATTATAACATATCATAAACCTTTACTGGGTCTGTTCACCAGCAATATTCCCACTCCTCAAATAATTTCACCACGCATGCTCAGGTGGTCCCTTATACTGAATGCCTATGATTGTGAGTTCAAGTATCGTACTGGCAAGGATATCACACATGCTGATGGATTAAGCCGATTACCTTTGCTTTCTCTGACTTCCTTGTTCCTCCTATGTCTGAGGTCCTCATGTTGGAATCCATTCCAAACCCTCTGTTACATGCAAGTGACATTGCTTGTATGTCTGCCAAGGATCCTTTGCTGTCCCGTATGCTCAACTGGGTTTGGAGGGGGTGGCCAAAATCAAAAATGGAAGACAAATTCAAACCATTTGTAGTGCGCCAACATGAACTATCTGCCTATAAAGGGTGCCTATTATGGGGAAACAGAGTGGTAATTCCAAATGCAGGACAAGCTCGAGTATTGCATGCTCTTCATGAAGGACATCCTGGAATAGTTTGCATGAAAGCTTTAGCCAGAAGTTATGTTTGGTGGCCTAAAATGGATGAAGTTATTGAAAAATGGGTGAAGAACTGTGTACCATGCCAATCTACTTGTCATGCTCCACCTAAAGCCTCAGTACATCCTTGGGAAGTGACTAGGTCACCTTGGTCCCGTTTACAGATAGATTTTGCTGGCCCTTTTCATGGACAGATGTTTTTTTTTTAGTTGTTGACTCCTTTTCAAAATGGTTAGAAATTGTTCCAGTTACATCTGCTACCTCAGTCACAGTCATAAAGATTCTAAGGAGGCTGTTTGCTACACATGGGTTGCCAGATACAATTGTGTCTGATAATGGAACACCATTTACCAGCCCCCTCCTACACAGTGCACACCACAGGACCACCAGGGAATGAGAGCCCCCCTCCCTGGCCAGCTAACAAGCAGGGAGGGGGGGACGAAAAAAAAAAATAACATACAAATTAAAATAACAAAAATATTAATATAAAAAAAATAATAAAAATGTCCACCCCCCAAGGCTCTGCATCACATACACACACACACTGCACTCATACACACTGCATTCATATGTCCGAGAACAAAGTCATTAGTTTTGTCCAGTAGGGCACTCGCAGCGAAGACAGCACGCAAACAGGGAGGACCACCCCTGGCTACAGGGTCAAGCATGCATGAGAAGTAGCCAATAGGGCGCTGTCGGGAACCGTGGCATTGAGTAAGGACCCCGGAAGCATGACCCATCTTCTCGGAGACGAAAAGTTTGAATGGTAATTGGTAGTTGGGTAGGCCCAAAGCAGGGACAGAAGAAATTACTCTTTGAAGAGCATAGTAACAGTTGCGGGCTGTAGAGGACAATGTGAAGGGTTCAGTCTTTAAGGCATCATAGAGAGGTTGCATGAGTTGAGAAGCCTCAGGAATCCAAGATCTGCAATATGTGATGAGGCCCAAGAAGGCATGAAGGGCCTGATGATTAGATGGAAGGGAGAGGTTTGTAATGGCATTAACTCTGTTTCTTGTTAGGTGACGGGTGCCATGGGAAAGGCAATGTCTCAAGAAGACCAGAGAGGGCCGGCACCACTGGAGTTTCGTTTTGGAGGCTTTACAACCTTCTTCAGCGAGGAAACAGAGGAGATCCACGGAATGTTGTTCAGCAGTCGGAAAATCATCTGCACAGAGAAGTAAATCATCAACATACTGGAGCAGGACCACGTCTGGGTGGGACTTTTGCTGGGGTTCAAGTACAGTGGACATAGCTTTGGCGAATTGAGTTGGAGAATTTTGTGCACCTTGGGGCATGACAGTCCATGTATACTGTTGACGGTCATGTGTGAAAGCGAACAGATATTGGCAAGAGGGATCCAAGGGCACACTGAAAAAGGCGTTTGCAAGATCAACCACTGTGAAGAACTTAGCTGTTGGAGGAACCTGTGGATTAGGAACGACTGCTGTGTCTCGGTTTGTGACCTCATTAACAGCACGGAGATCCTGGACCATACGGTATTGGTCTGGTTGACCTTTTTCAGTTTTCTTCTTTACTGGAAACAGAGGGGTGTTACACTGAGAAACGCATTTGACTAATGCACCTTTTGCCAACAGGCTATCAACTTGCTTGGAGATTGCGAGGGCTTGGGCAGGTTTCAACGGGTACTGTGGTCTTCATGGTGAAGTAGCTCCTTTAATTAGTGTAACTACCACAGGTGGGACTCTGAGGCATCCAATGTCATCTGGACCTGTAGACCAAAGGTTAGTCGGAACCGTAACCAGGGCACTGGGGGCGTCTGGGACCCTTGTTTCCTCGGTGGGGGATGTCATGTGTAAGAGTAGGGGCAAAGAGCAAAGGACAGAAGTATCTTTGCGAGAAAGTGGGGTAAGTAACTTAACCTGGCCATCAGCAGTAAAGGAGATAGAAGCTTGAAGGTGAGACAATACATCAGCACCTAAGAGGTTAATGGGACAGGTGGATGAGACAACAAACAGAGAGAGAATGTCAGAACCAACCCGCAAGAGCTTGGTTAATGGGTTGTTTTGGGGGGTACCATCAACGCCTACACAAGAAACATCGGTGTCAGATAGGTAAGAAGGATCAGGCAGGTCTTGTTCTCTGAGAACACTGCGGGCTGCACCTGTGTCAACTAGGAAGGTAGTAGGATGACACTCAACTGGTAATACAACTGTGGCTAGGGCCCCCGTCCCCTGTAGACACTGCCATGACAGGGGTGTCAGACACCGGTTTGCCGGTTACCTATTGTACAAGGTCTAGTTGGGATTGATCAGGGCCAGTGGAATGATGTGTTGGTGTAGTGGAGTGGCCTGCCTGATGGTTTTGACAGGTACGCCGATAA